AGCAAATAGCAAACTCTACATTTCTTTTCCAAACTGCCCCTAAAGAGATCTTATTATTAGCAGAGGTCCAATTTGAGGTTCATGCATCCCGTCTCCGCGACTCTCATCAGCGGAGCCCACTAATGAGTGTTGCTTAGCAACCGTTAAAACAGGGCTGGTTAAAGTCAGCGTTGGCAAGAAGACTCCTGCTCGGCGAGGTCTTTTTTCTTTTCTTCTCAACTTGCTCTTCATGTGCCATCTGCGTGCACTAACAAGGCCCGTTTTCACGGTGACATCAGAGAGGATGCCTATTATTATAATTAGTATTTGGAGTAATACGACTGGATATATATATATATATATATATATATATATATATATATATATATATATATATATATATATATATATATATATATATATATAAACTATGATAGTTGAATAACATTTATGCATTCTGATCTCTGTCTCAGTCTCTGCTCAAATAATATACTGAAGAGGATCCTGCATGCTCGATGAAAAATGAAATCCGTCTTCTGCCTGAGGGAGGGGCAGAGTGTTTATATCCACAAATTATTAACACAATGCGGCACTTAAGTCCTTGACGGGAACCGTTCTTACTGAAATTGCAGTATGTAGCGTCCCATTACCCAACCTTCAAACGTAAAAGAAACCCTCTCATCACGGCAAAACAAAAACGATTTCCGCAGGTATCCGTCAAGGCCAATGCGCTTCAAATGAGCCCCCGATGGCTCCACATTCGCTTTGCGCCTGTGGAAGTCAAATCATGCAATTTGATTGCATGATTATCCCGAGTGCGTACGCCGGAGCTTCTGCCATCCGGTCTGATGAGAGGATTTAGTCCCGATCCAACCTAAGCAGAGAGTTCAGAGATGAGACTCATCCACTCTCCGGATTGCCTCCTTTTCTCTGCGGATCTATAGAATATCTCCTCCGCAATCAGGTACAGTAGTGTTTCTCTCTCCTGGGACTGCGTCATGGCCCCGGGTTTAACCCCGGGAGCATTCGCGGCTGAGGCGCGAGACGCTCTACTTCAAATTAAACAGCCTTTTGATGGATGTCGGGCTCAAAGTGGGTCACCCTGACCGGGGGGGGGGGGGGGGCAAGCCTGGCGCCGCGTGCGCCGTCACGGTTGTCTCCTTCAATGAGCCCGGCGAGGCTTCAACTTATGCAAAGTCCGCTCACCTTTTCCGGCTCCCGCCGCGCGCCGAGGACGCCCGCCCGCGTCCCAGGGTGCGACGACGGGCGCGGTAGCGAAGCCCGCGTTGTTCTTTATTTTGTTTTTAAGTGCGAAGGGCAGAGCGCGGTGGGAAGGCCGGGGCCCGCCGGCGCTGCGTCGCCATCGCGCGGGGAGACCATCCGGATGCTATTACGTGTGATTGGAGTGCCAGCTTCAAGGGCGTTTCTCTGCACGCCACACTTTATCTTCTTCAATTGCTCAGTGCTGGAATTCCCTCCATTCGGAACAGTTTTGTGACGATGATGATGATGATGATGATGATGATGAGGTCTGCTGGGCTCTGGCAAAGTGTTTCATATTCCCCCTTCTGAACAATCGAACCACCGCCATGGATACGCACGCCGGATAGACGCCTGTTTTGTGTATTTTTGTCCCATTTTCATTCGCACGCATTCAACCTCTGATTGTTACTCCGGCGCATTCGCCCAAGTAAATAGTTAAATGTCACGCAGTTTAGTCGAGTGACAGAGAGACATGTCAGGCAGCATAATTAGTAGGCAACACAAACGTAGCCCCACCCCCCACACACCACCTCCCCCTTAGCATCTGCGGCGGCTCGATTATCAACCGTTGTGATGTTGAGAGAGAGGAGTGTTGACTGACAGGCCCGGCCCGGCTGGAGCTACAGATCGTACAGTAACCGGCAGCAGAGCCATTCTTCCCCATTTGCACAAAAAACGAACAAAGCGAACAAAGCCCTGCATTGTCTGCCCCCCACACACACACACACACACACACACACACACACGCTCCCCTTAACGGACTGAGGTGTAGAGACGTGCCCGGGTCCTTCCGATGCCGTTTCCATGAGCGGATGGAGTTTGAGCACGATCTTCTTCTTAAAGGGATCGGCCAAAACCGCTGCACGAAAAGCTAATTCTCTTTAAAACTCGAGTGCTTCATGCTGAGCGGGTCTGGTCCGTCGTCAGCCCCCTGCGTCACTGTTCTACTCCTCCCGGGCCCGCCGGCTCCACATCAACTTCCTCGGGGGGGGGGGGGGGGGAATCGGGCGACTCCTCTCTCGCCTCTGATTGGCTCCCTCTCGGCCATCGTTGATTTAAATGAACCGCTTTGGATCCGAGCGCATCAAAGCCTCCGTGCCCGCTCTGGGCAGATGGTGTTTTTTTGAATAATGAGGATCGTGCTTGACCTTCAGTGACCACCTCTCGCTTGCTTGTAATTGTGAAGTTTTAGGCCGTCCCTCGGGCTTTTGGCTGCTCCAAGCCGCGGCGCAGTTATCGGTCGGCGTCGGCTGTGAGTGCCGTCTGATTGTCAGTGGCAATGTGAACATGGCTTTCTGCATCTAAACGCCCCCCCCCGGAGGAAAAAGACGGCCGTGGCTTCGAACTCTGCGGAGCGGATGACATGAGATCTGCAGGGTGACAACGGCAAAGGCTTCCCAGGGGTAACATACCGGATATTGGCTTCTCGTCCCTGCCGCCGAACACAGCGGATCCCATTGTTCCCTAAACGTCGTGTCCCCTCCGCCTCTTATTAAACAGATGTCGAGATGTAAACAACAATAAGAGCCCGAGCTTAATCTTGCGTGTTTGTGTTTCTCCATGAGACGGACCAGCTTTTGCAGCATTGTGTCCACATGAGAGAATATTTGATGTGTTGCCTGCAGGAGCGAGATAAATGAGATGGTGGGATGTTTATCTCAGTTACAGATATTTGTATCTAAGAGGGTTGATATACATTCATGCAGCCGTTCATTAAAGTTAATTAATGCAAAAGATGCATCATCAAAGTGACAGGAATACATTTTTTTCTCACACCAGTTGAACACTTAAAGGTGTTTTTATATTGTGGTTCCATTACGCACATTTATTTATGTGCATAAAAAAAACAAATGTTTATTGGTGACATTATTGGAGGCGGCTCCTTCAATCAGCGCGCGGAGGGAGAGGCGGCCCACCATCGTTGTGATGGTGCAACAGCTACGAAAGCCATGAAATAGCATAAAACCCACGGATGAGAAGTTCCAGGGGCATTTCCTCCTCGGGATTAGGATAACAAATCAATGTCACATATGCGTGACGTCATTTTTACTCACTTTGGTTTATAAACACAGCTGTCTCTCCCTGACATTCAAAAACCTCCCGAATATATTTACTCAATGTTCCTTGACCCCCCCTTGAAGGAGTTTTTGCAAAATGTCGGTTCTTTTCTTCACGACGGATTTGAAGTTTCCTCGCTCTGCGCGATGAAGTGTGGCGTCCTCGGCCCCCCCGTCCAGTCCCGACCCCTCAGCCGTAAGCACAGCCGTGCTTTAGGACCCCCGTCACCTCGCTCATTGGCCGTCGATGACTCCTAACGGCCCCCCGGGGACTCGGTGCTCATCTTTACACCACGCGGCCTCGACGCTGAGCCGTTTAATTTATTTCTTTAAAAAAAACACCTCACTTTTGCACATTTTATGAAACACCTAAGAGCACAGGGTTGGCTTTCAAAGCCCCCCCCACTTCCTCCCTGCTGTCCACTGGTAAATATCAGGCCCTAATTTGTATCTTTCACAGGATGACACAAACCGAACCGCAGCTATTAGTGACCGATCTCTCTCTCTCATCAGCAAATGCTGGGGAACGTCGCTCTTATCCGAGTGTCGGCAGCAACATGTTTTTTTTACTGCAGGCGGGAGTGTGCCTCATCACAGCACAGCTCTCGGCAAACCCCGACCGCCCCCCCCATCCCCCCCAGCGCGGCGCGATATCGGCCACCCCGCTCCCGTCCAATTTGGGAGGGTGGCGACGCTCAATCCCAAGATTCATCTTTTACCAGCGCTGTGTTACGCTGGCGAGGGCCAATTAAGGAACTCCACGCCGCCGCTGGGGCCCGGACGCGCTGAGGCCGGTGGCCGGTGAGGCCGGAGAGGCATAAACAGTCGTCGTGGCTTCTTCCTGATTCACGCGTAGCCTGTGCTGCGTCCGATCCGGGTTGCTGATGTCGCCACGCGGCGCCATCTGCTGCCTGCAAATGAGGCCACCGGTTCCCGGCTCATTGATGTTCGGTTCAAGCCTTTATTTTCTAATCTCGCAACGGACACCTGATTGTACGCCTTGTAATTATTTCTTTATTACGCTCAAGTGTTTGTGAGGCTCCCGAGCGGAGTTTTTATTGTGGAAAACAAAGTGCCGCGAGACGAGGGGGGGGCGAGCGAGGAAGTGCCCGCCTACAGAGCGTCCCATCTGTCCGTCACGGGCGAGGTGATGTTGGTGCGTGTTTGACGGATGAGATCACCTGCGCTCCCTTTCGGTGACAACGACTCTTTTTTTTTTTTAATGATCAGAACAGAGACTTTTGCCTCGAAAACTTAAATAAGTCCGAGGCACACGGATAAAATCGATGTGCTGTAGAAAAGGGATTTCAGCATGAGACCGCGAGTGTGTGTTTTCTTAATTAATATAGGTCCAATTAAAAGGGTGAAAAGAGCCTTTGTGTGACATAAATGATGGATTTTGTAGTGGATTTAGTTTAATTACGCCGTTATCTGCTGGAGAATCGGCCCACTTTTTTTCACTCAGCAGTGGACGACATTTTATTTACACTGAACTGCATTAATTAATGGCCACTGGTTGTCCTCTGTAAAAGTCCTGCCTTATTTAAAACTTAAAAACGACAAATTCTTACCATCGTTGGTAAAGGACTTACCTTGACCCACTTATTTCTTCCATCATAGCAACCGGTGTGTCCGGAGGTGCCTTTATATCGATCCAATTTCCTTCTCATCATCATGGATTTATTCATATTTATTTTTCAGGGAGCTGAAAGGAAGAAAGGAAGTGCAGGAAGAGCCGCTCTCCACCTGAAGAAACTGTAAGTGTCAATCACATGACCTTTGTTTCTATTGGACAGAACAATGTCAGCCATTTCGCAACATGCCACACAAACCCAAATTCACATTTACGTTGTGTCATCCCTAAAAGAAGCCTAATTATATTTGCTGAAAGGGGCATCTCACCCTCCTGTCGCACCCTGAGACGCTCACACACACAAAGAATCAATCAAATCAGTAAACCCAACAGGGAGACGGGCGGCCTGATGGCCAGCGGTCTCGTTTGAGATGCAGACGTTGTCCTGTTGCTTCCTTTAATGAGATCTGGAGGCGTGCAATCTAATATTCACCACCGAGGCCCCCGACGTGGCCCCCGGGCCTGCAGCCCAGAAGGCTGCGTGCTAATTCAATGGAGTGAAGTCAGCTGTGATCAGAAGGACTGGAGTGGCCATTCAGCGGAGAGGATTAGAGGCATTAGCCCTTTTCTGCACAAGATGGACTAATAGTCCACGTGTGTGTCTATTCTACACTCCTCAGGGTGTTGAGAAAACATTTCAAAAATCAACCCAGGTTTGGCATCAGAGGAACATGGAGCCTGCATGTAAATGACGTGATGGACGCGATGTCCCCACACGTCACAAGATGATGTCACTTGGGAATTAGCATGCGCGCGCATTTGCCTGTTTCGATGAATCAACGTCATCAAAGCACTTTGGTGGCACATGCATCTGCATTAAGGGTGCTCGGCCGGGTCTCTCACTAACCTTCTTCAGAAAGGTCTCCTCAACAGTTCCTTAATCGGCTCCATCACCACAACCAATAAGATTCCCCCTGCCTCCAGAACTGCCTCCTATTTCTCTTCTCACCTTCTGATTCTGTTTTTCTCGCCCATCGTTTTTGAGTCGCCGTCCTGGTGCTCAGAGGCGTGGACCTGCAGATATTTAGCACCTCCTGGGTTTGACGTGGCGGAGCGCCCATTCTGCTCCCGAAGACAAAGCTCCCTGCATCTGTCCCAGCTGTGGACAGTGATGGATGCACCTCGGCATATTAATCACCCTTCATGCAATACGATTGGGTTAAAAAATCCATTTTCACTGCCCAGAGCCTTTACGCCTCCTTTTTTAAACTGGCTTCATGTTCAGCAGCCAGTGATAATCCCCAGAAAGAATGTCCCTCTAATCCCCCCGGGTCCCCCGTGGTCCTCAGCGACAACAAAACAAAAAGACCAGAAATGCAGAATTAATCATGTGAATGAAGAGTCTGAGCCTTAAGTGCTCTCGGAATCTGATTTGTTATTGCTTATAGTCAACCCCATTATTGGGGCTTTTCACATGGAAATTAAAATGTGATTGCCGCCTTAGAGACCTCCCAAAATTAACACTGTGTGCAGAAAACAGAGAAGGCTTCTGTTCGCTTTTGTGAAAAACCCCGATTTGTCTTTTAAAGAAGACCTTCATGGATTCTCAAAACTTCAAGGATACACGTCTCTGGCCTACTGAACTGTGCAGTGTGATTTCATTCGATGCAAAACACACAACGCGGCGTGTACCACGTTGAGCAGCCGTCAGGCGGCTCCCTAATCCTCACATGGTGAGGGGGGGGGGGAAAGAGGAAAAATCACCTCTGGACGAGCGACCACACACGGGGGGGGGGGGAGAAGATGTTCGTGGCGTGTTCAAAATGGCCACAGGGCAGCCATTTCCCACAATGCTCCCAATTCCGCCGGCTCCTCGGTGGCGATCCGTCCTTTGTGAGCCAAAGTGTGTGAGACACATCGCGGTCACCGCGGGCCGGAGGAGATATGACAAACACAAAAGGACGGGGCCCGGTTTTGCCTCCCTCTCTCCCCCCCGTATGCAAGTAGCCCTTCCATACATGGAAACCAGACCATCAGCTGCCTGGAGGCATCCAGGGGTATTTCACATGTCATCCTTCGAATGAGACCTGGAGAGAAGGTGATTGATGGGAGACGCGTCCGGCCGTCCTCCTCAGTGAATCACAGTCGTCCCCCTTTGCGACAGCAGCATGTCTTCATATGGTGTCACATCCCTTCCAGCGTCTCTCCATCACCCATCGCCAGAGGAACGGGTCACATTTCACCTACCCCGGTGTAAAAAAGAAAAACAGAACCCCAAAAAAATCAAAAGAGCAGAGACATGTGGCCTTTTTTCTCGGGCTTCGTTGGAAAATGACACTTCGAACTTTTGAATTAGTCGATTTTCTTTGGTGAAGAAGTCTCGTCCACAGCTTCCGCTGTGTGTTAAATTGAAAACTTGGAGAAGAAGACAGCGTGACGGCTGCCGGCCCCTTCACATGCGACCGGACCGGAACCAAGAATAAGATCGATATATTCTATGATTGATTCAATATCATCAATGTGAAGAATGTATTTTTTTTCCTGAAGAGTATTTTGTACGTTTCTTATAAGGTGTATAAGGTGTTGTGTGCAGCAGAGCTCAGTTCAGTTTGAATCACGATTGTTTCACATTTCCTGCACAAATACCAAGCTACTATACTCCTATTTGACTGGACCTGAGGGGCGAGCTCCTCTGCACCGAGGGCCGACGGATCCGCGATACCAGTGAGCCTCATTGTGAGTCTGAGACGTCGCTGATCCGACTGCTTTGCTCCCCGTCTCCCTGTTTGTCGTGATTAGCTCCTCTCGGGTGTTTAATTACACATTCTGCTAAATGATTTAATGGATTATTTGCTCAAGCGCAACGTTTATTTACCAGATCTTCATAAATCTGACCTATTACATTTGCGTTCAAATTTCACCAGATTGATGCATTAATATCCACATGTTTTAATCAAAATAAAGCATGTTGGTCTGAGTAGCTTACAAACTCACCTGGCTGCAAGCGAGCGGAAAATGTAGCTGGAAGAATATTGTTCAGAACAGATCAACAACTTCATTTACTCTCAGTAAACATAACTAACTAAGCCTTTACAGCACAGGCGTAGAGAAGGAACTGGCACAAAGCAAAGTTATACATGCATGTGACCTATTCCACCTTATATTCTGATGTGAAATATTTATTTAGAGACAAAACAAATGTAATCCTATTCGCCCCTTTTGATTATTGGAAAGTATTACAGCGCCACTCATTGATTACGCGAACAGTCGTAAGCGAGAAAGGAGTTAAAGAGGTTTATGGCGAGGTGTCCTGGTGCGTCGCGGGCGTCGCGGCGTGGGGCCCCGCAGAGGAGCGGAGCCAAAAACACCCAGCTGCTGGTTTGATGTCGGCCGCAGATTGAACACGGAGGTCTAATTCTCGCTGTCTGTTCGTTGTGTGAACCTTCTGCCAGAGAGGACGCCGCTCCCGCCTCGGATCGGGACGCGGGCGACAAACTCCGTTGGGTCATCGAGTGACTTCGCCATCAGCCCCGCATCACAGCAGGTTTTGCAGCGGAGTTGCTAGGTAACGAAACGCCTCCTTAAGACTGTGCTGTTATTTCTGAAAACCACGTCAGGTTTCTCGCTCCTCCGAGAATAAACGCCGCGCCCGCAGGCTGCCGCTTTTGTCAGCGGAGCGAAGAAAAGCTTTTATTTGCGGTGAAGCGCAACAGAAGAGTCTTGGAAAACGGAAAACGTCTCCGGACTCCGGGAACAAAATAGAAAAAACGCCCCCGCGAGCTGCTGACACCCAGAGACCAAAGGACACGTTCAGGAGTGCTTTTACCTCGGAAGCATCACAGCAGGGGGTCAAATTGACAAAAGTCTCCTTTCAGACTCCTTCTCCCCCCCCCCCCCATCCCCAAACGTTAACGTTCTTTTCCACCCCGGCTAAATAATCGCCAGAAACGAAGGCAAAAAACGCCAGCGCTTACTGCACAACGCGTCCCCTTGCACTTAACGATGAAAAGGCAACGGGCCTCTCTCGGGCACCTACTCCTTTTAATAGCGCCGAGGCAGCAGGAGCAAATGAAAGCTCTCAAAGGCAAGGGAGAGTAGGCGTAGTCAATGGACGCCTCTGCCCCCGGAGTCAGGCTTTTTACAGGCCCGAGAGCCGCTCTCATCTGGGCCGGAGAGCCGGAGTAAAGGCACCGGGGGTGCCAATGCTTCTGTGATGCCGAAGCATTAGGCGTCGTTTTGTGGCCTCAGTGCATTAAAAGTAAAAAGATGAATGGAGCCCCCGAGGCAACGGGGGGGGGGGGGGGGGGGGGATCTCTGGGATATTTGAAGGGTCTACTCTCCTTTGCGATATGCAGGAGTGGCAGGTCGTCCCATTGTAGCTTTCGTTTCAAGGGCAAACAGAGAGTTCCATACGTTTGAAATACTGTAAACAAAAATATTTGTGTTTTTTTTCTTCTGAAAAAGTAACGTCAGAATGCAGGAAGAAAAGATGGACGCCACTTTCTATGAGTCAGCAAATGGATTTAACCACTTCAGCTCCCCCACCAACACAACCCCCCTGAAACTGTACAAGTGGCTTCCATTACACAGTTACACCGGGCTCTTTGGCTGCTGTCGCCATGGAGACGACCCCCCCTCTGTCCTAGTTTTGTCAGCCTGCCCTTCTGAGCACATGAGCACGAGCGCGGTTCATACACAGATGCTCCACAGATAGCGGCCGCGCTTGCGGTCTGAATGCCGCCGCGCCGCAGCCGGGACACGTGGCGGCTTCAGACAGGCACCTCGCAACCGTGTTACGGCCCCCGCGGGCCGTGAAAAGGGCTCAAGGTCATTCGGACATGGTGTTCAGTGTGCGTGAAGGTCAGCGGAGCTTTTACCCATGAAGCAGATCCCGTGCAATTGCAATGACCAAGGATTTATATTAAAGGAGAACAAACGGATCAATTTAGAAGTTACGGCATTTTACAAATTATAATTTATTCTGTGAAATTTACGCTTTGTTTCGTTAATATGAAATGCGGTAAGTTTTACCCATTGTTATTGAGTACATAAGCTGTACTACTTGACACCTCATATAAGCAATGATAAGTATGAGTAAGGTAAATATTCAAGGTTGTTGTGTAACCGGTTTTGTGTGGTTACTACTTTTAAATAACGCACCCTCACTTCCAGTTTGGTCCTGTGTGCTGAACACAAAGAGACCCTGTTGCTGAGGAAGCTAATGGATTCTTTGAATTCATTTTGATTCGGCTTTGCCTTTAATCCCCCCGGCCGTTTGATGTGAAGTTTCTCTGTATTATTGTAAATACAGAGAACCAGGATCCGTTTGACCCGTCCAGGTCGGCGCTCGATGGAGGCGCTCGATGGAGGCCCTGAAGGAGCGGCGGGCCGAGATGGAGGCCGCCCTCAGGTGGCGCTCCGGACGCACGCCGACATCTACTATTCCCACGCGCTTAGAAAGGCTGCTAAAGAGACCCCCCCCCCCCACCTCCCCCCCCATTTGCCGACTACGTCCGAACCGGAGGTCGACTGCGCCTCGTCTCCAAAGTTTTCTCCTCTTCGCCGACGGCGAGTCACCCCTAAAGCACCTTGACACGAGGAGCAAACCAGCCCGCCTCTGCTCATCACCGTAATCTTGTTTGCTCAGAGGGCAGCGTCCGTCCGCGCGGGACAGCACGCCCCCGCGGGAATAAAGCCGCACGCCGGGGATATTGCGATCCTCGTCCTGGTGGCTTTAGGGTTGGGGGGGGGGGCGGCATCACTGCAGACGCGGGGTGACCTGCAGAGGCGCATCACAGCGAAAAGGCACGCGCCCGTGCAATGATAAAAGCAGCTTTTTCCAAGAGGACTATTCAGCAGACTAGAGTTTGCATATTTTTAAGCACTTACCTTTCGTTAAAACTAAGCCCTCCCCCCCCCCCGGCTGTTGTCATTTCGAGCGACTGCCTCCACATGCGGTGAGTTAAACATTCAAAGTGATCTCTGGGGTTCGTAATTATTCCCCCAGTGAGCAGCCATCAAAAGCAGAAGGGGGAGGAAGACAGTTGTGTCGCTACAGAACAAACCGTCCACCGATGCCACAGCTGCTGCTGTCTGCTCCCTCTTCTTTTGACTCCCCCAGGTGCAGCGCTTCTCCCCGTAAGACTTTATGCACTTTATTTCTCCCTTTTTTTCTAAAACGCCAATCGCGGCACGTTGTAACGTTTCCAGCTCGCGGTGGTGAAACTTTGCTCGTGACAGCGGAGGATGAGGGCTGCTCGTCGGACCGAAATGAAATGAGGAGGAGGAATCCGAAGAAATGAGGCGAAATGGAACAACAGCCCCGAGGAGTGTTGAGTGTGAGCTTTAAATATCCTCTCTGCTTGACCAGTGGAAGTGTGTCCTCCCCCCCCCGAGCAGATGGCGAGCCCGGTGGAGGCCGATGCACCGAGAGCTTCGCCTTATGTGCACGCACGGAGCCGCGCTGGGAAGGCGGTTGCCAAAGCATCGCATTTGCGGATGGAGACACGCGGGCGGAAGGTCAAAGGACTCAGATTAAGCCTCCTGCTACGGGCGCGTCCCGTGACTCTATCGTCCAGGTCGACGCCCTCAAAACCCGCTAATTTCCGTGACGTCGCGCTTTCCTGCAAAAGGGGGCATTTGGTTTAGAACGTTGTGGCCTCAGCGGTGGAAACCGGCCACGTCGCACGAAGCACTTCTAAATCTCGTCAAGTCGAGTTTGGAAAAGTGACGGGCGCATCGCGGGCCCGGCTGACACATCTGGGTCTCTGCGTTCTGCCCCGCCGCCCGTCACGGAGCAGAATCTCTCCTTTGATTGGCAGGTTAAACTCTTCAAGGTCAGCTTGCTCTACAGCTCCCCCTCTGATTGTAAGATTACTGTGGTAATATCGCTCCTGTGGGGAGCCGTCCCCCCCCGTCCTTCCTCGACTGGTTCTCAGTCCACACTGGTATCTAAAGATTGTGTCCTCGCCCCCTCATCGTGTTGTCGCTGCACAGGTTGTCGAGCACGGCGATTGTGCTGTATGTCACATTTGCCATACCTGGAGCGCTGGGCGAGAAATATCATTTCTGCGGCGGATGTTGCTGCCCGATTGCAACCTGACAGACACACTTTTTTTCACTTAAAGTTTTTCTCAAGATCCACTGAGATTATCTTTGCTCAAAGCCAGCAAATGGCCACTTGGGAACATAGGGAATGTCGGGCCTTCGACGCAGACGTGAACGAGGTGGATACACGCCTCCAAACAGAGAGATGCCGCCGTCAACGCGTCCCCACTATTCTGTGCCGGAGAGTGAGAAGATGTGAAAACAGGGCAGGAAACAGGAGCTGCGTTGTCCGAAGCCTCGCATAAGGACTCGTGCAGATGGCAGCCGAAAGCCGCAGAGGCAAAACGCGGAGCCGCTCGCCATCGCTGCCGCGGGCTCCTTTTTTTCCGATCGCGCTTTTTTGTCGTGCATGCGTATTTAGCGGCTCCTTTCGAATGATGACGCGCCGTCGACTGCCGCACACGATCTCCGTGGGAATGTCGTCACTCTCCGCACTGGAAAGTCCATCAGTGCCAATTAGTGCTCAATTAGGCCCAATAAAGGGCTAATATACACGGTTATTATGAATAATGGAAGGGACGGACTGATACGAGCAAATCAAAATGTTCCTGTGGCTTGTGTCTAAAAATCACGGATGCTTTGGGAATTGTTTCCATGTGAATTAAATATGTTTGAGTGACATAGATTTCTCCTTAACTAATATTGCGATGGGTCTGTCCTGAATGGTTTTAAATGCACGGGTCTAGTGTTAAATGGAATGTATTAACCTTTTCACTCGGCGCCATCATTTGCCTTTTCTGATAGTGCAAGGGAATAAGAATGAATGCGCTCCCTCCAGATACGTTTCCTTTATCCTCCCGCCAAGTAGAGGAAATGGCTACATATATATATATATATTTATAATAATGTGTGCATTGGTTGGCAGGGGGATGCACTCGCACAGTACGAGGGGGAGAATGAATGCCGATGATCAGTAGTCGTACCACATTCACTTTTATAGTCTTTTTTATAGTCTCGGGCACTTCTGTGCTGGCACAATATTTCTGTATAATCTGTGGGTCCTTAGAAAAGGGATGCTGATAGATTTTGTTGAACAATTATGGTTCCCAGAGGATGATTCAGAGAGATTTATGGAGCCTTTGAGCCAAAGCAGTGGTATGTGCCATTGAAATTCCTTGCTTTTTAAAATAATTCCCGGGGGTCAAACTGTCAACTTTAAAGACAAACTAATGGCTGCATGAACTGTTCGTCCGTTCGTTCTGTTTCCAGACGCCGAATTGATTCTGTGCTGTTTCTGCCGCCAAGAGATACGAAGTAATTGTCCCCCATGTGTTTTTTTGATGTTTGAATCCATTTTAATTGTGGCGCTAATGTATCCGCTCTCTCCAGCGTAGAATTACAATCCCAAAGATATTTATTTTCAGTCCTCTAAAACAGTTAATTGGATAATCCTCACATTTGAGTTGCTGTTACTCAACCTATCAATTAATTGGTATTCATTCAAATTCATTCCAGCTCTTATCCCGTTATATTCGCCCCCCTCTCTTAAGAGGTATATCCCCCTTATTGCCCCTGTATAAACAATGTCCCCTCAGATTCGGGGAGGGGGGAGCATAGACAGCTCCCGGACCCCTCCACACTACCCAGCAGGGCTGCACTGGAGGCCTTCCCACCCCTCCACAGCAGGCAGCTTCTGTTTGGAGGAGATCCCCGGCTGTTCTCGGCTGCTGTCCCCTGGCAGTCCCCGGAATGCGGCCAACTGTCTGTGAAAACCCCCCTTTGATAATGGAAATCCCCCCCCCCCCCCCCCCCACCACCACCGCTGACATGCACAGATTACCGAGCTGATGGAACGATCCACATGGGCAAAAGATGCAGGCGTGTTTATTTCGTGCTGGGTGCAGCTGTTTGGACCCATCGAGCTCTCTGATTATTCAGAGGTTGAAATGGTCTTGGTACATATATGTGAGATGTATTTTTCTGAGGAGCCCCCCTCTTGAAGTACCTCAGGGGCCCAATGCGAGAACAACAAGAAGATATTCAGTCATTTTTTTTCCTTCTTTCTAGATCTGAGCGACTGCCGAAGAGAGAGGAGGCAACTTAGGGTTAAAGGTCAGACTCTGTTCCCTTTTAACTAAATAGCAGCTTATACTGAAATGTGTACTTGCTCCCATTGGGAGTCATTGGGAACCCAAAACAAAGCAATGATTCTTTTTACTTTGCTCCTAGAGAATCGTTTGTGTTCCATAATCTCTTTGCTTTAATTCAGTCTTATTTTGTGATAAAAGTTGCTGTTTATATATGTTGAAACACTGGTTCCCCCCACGGAGAGTGTCAGGGGTCTAAAATGACGGATTTGCGGTTGCATTAGATCGATTATATTAAATAGCATCAGGATGTCTTCCCAGACGATGTGCCACAGTCATTAACTCCCGGTCCACTTGTACACAAATGCTACATTGTGTTGGGGAAAAGTGATTTTTATCCCGCGAGGGTCCGACCAAAGCTGCTTAGTTGCATATTTAGCTGGTTTGATTAGAGCTCATTTGACTGGAACATCCTCCGCCTAAACCCAAAGTGTACAAAAGGAGGCTGACGCTGTGAATATATGAATGGAAAATCAGCACGTCTGCTTTGACCCCTCGAGGACGCCGCCGCTCCTCGGTGGAACAATTATGGACGCGCCCACTGTTTAGATGCAGCGTAAACCGCCGCCGCCGCGTCATCGGGAGGAATCTTTCGTCACCCGATGAATCTGATGTTTCTCGCGCCGAATAGTGAACAGCACGGAGGACAAGTCGGCGCTTTGTTGCTCGTATCGGCGCCACATGCCCACATTAATATTGATGTGGAAATGTGTCACATTTTCAGTGTTGGAACAAGTGGTCTTCTTCCTGCGCGGCGTTTTTTGGCCGATTGGGTGTTTTAATGAGCAATCTGTAAGTGGCAGTAAAAAGTTTGGTAATTTCTAACAAAAAACATCATCAACATCAACATAATTTCCCACACATTCCCCAAATCATCCTGTGCACAATTATGTAAGATGCCTTAAGGACAACTATCTTCTATTCAAGATATGGGAGGATAACCAGTAGATGCATACTATGCTCTACATGTAAGTCCAATTAAAAGGCAACTACATCAAACTGAACACTGACTTTATTCATGCACGTTTTGGCACACGGGTTTTCCTTCCACCTGGTTGGTTCAGCATTAAGAGGACTTAAATCTGTGAAACCCTTAAAGTCTGTATTCAACCGCCCCTGCTGGTTCAGTCAGGGTTCGCCGGCTATTTACCGAGGAATCGCGAGCGATTCCGGCCTCGTTAAATCCCATTTCGTTGCTGCCGCGCGCGGAGCTCGGCCTCCTCCGGCCGCGCAGAGGTGGAGGACGACCCGCAGAGCGGCCCAATCTTTCATCCTTATTGCCAGTGACACAGAGATGTGAGAGGGTGGAGCGCGCCCTCCTCTTCCGCCCGCCGCCCAATTCCCTTTAAACAATGCAATTGGCCGAGGCAGAGGAGGTTAAACCGTCGAGTCCCAGGGCTCCCGTCTCTCTCTCTCTCTCTCTCTCCTGGAATAAATGCCGGTTTAAGGCTAACAAACAGGGAACAAGGAGTCTATTAGCGTCTGACTTACTCCATGACACATGAAGATGTTAACCCCCCCCCACATCCCTCACCATGTCTCTGCAGGCTCCAGGTTCTTGTTGCAAAGGGCACATTTTCATCACACGTGAATCATTTGTCTCCACAGTCATTCTTTCAAATAATTAAAGTGCAAATTGAATTTTGATTAAGATTACTTTATGTTGAAAGACAAACGTCGCCAATCAAAGTTTTCGTCATTTTAGCTTGATTTTTTTTGGTGTGATTACTTCTTCTTCTTCTGCTCTCCTGCTTTCACGCCCCAAATCGCTCCCCGCGCGGATGTTATCAGGCGAAGTGATGATTTCCATTTGAATTTTTCAAAACACCGAAGAGTGTGTTTTCTCGCTGTGATTCGGTATTGATTAAACCAGAGCTGCCGCATGCAGGCAGAGCGCTGCTGGGGGGCCGTGACGGGCACCGTCAAGGTGAATAGCGGACGGTGTCCATCGCAGGGGGGGTGTGGGACATATTGCCTACGTATCCGGGACATGTTCATCGCAGGTTTTTGCTTTTGTTCTCGCAGGTGGAGATTCTGATCTCTGTTTTGTGATCATCGGCCTAATTCTGCCGAGTCGAGAGCGTCCCGCCCGTCAGGCGGCGTGGAAGGTATCTGGCAGCACCTCATGTCCTCTACGCTTATTGCCTCCCCCCCCCCCCCCCACCCCCACTAAACCAGGTGCTTGCAGGGAGAAAAAGACAGTTTGGACCACCCAGTTAAAGGACTGAGGGACAGAGATTTTTATTTTTTCTATTATAGTTGCACGCCGCTTTTCGTCAATTAGCCCATTTGGCACCGGGTTAGCGTCCAGGAAACCCAGGCGGTCGGGGGAACTGCCACGGAAGCAGGTTTAAGCACTTTGCCGCCGCCGCCGCAGCGGGTTCCTTTTTAGACCAAAGCGGCGATCGGGTTCAAAGATGGAGGTTCGTCACGACCAGCGAGAGATAGGAAGAGGTTGGAAGCGGCGGATAAGCCGGGTGTCGGGACGTGGGCTCTGTGTTGCCGCAGGATTCCATTCGGTGGAGTGTGCGCGTTGGTTCCTCCTCGGCGGACCAGCGGTGCAGCACCGGGAAGTAATCTCCCCGCTGCAGCAGCGGATCCATCGGGATGCCACATGATGAAGGGTGACCGTCACATGGCCCGAAGAAGAGAATCAATTTGAAATAGCGATCCCTAACTTATCTCCAGTGGCACCGAGACGCCCGTAATGCCGCCGGAAGGCTGTTTCAGGGGAGGATTTGCTTATAACACGTTTTGCCCTTCTTTTTTTTTCCTTATGTGCAGTGAACGTGAGGCCTCCAACCTCCCTTCTCACTCCACCAATGAATCTACTCTTACACGCGTCTTCCCGTATGTGGTTGATTGCTGAGGGGGTTGCTTAATTACCACAGCCTCCGCGGGCAATGATGGCGATTACCGCTCTCCAAATCCCCACTAATCCCCCACGACGGGCGGCGCCGAGTCCTCCGTCCCGCCGCCGAACCGCGGCCCTCCCAAAACAACAGCAACAACAACAACAACAACAACAGAGCTGCTCCTTGGTGCCCCCCCCCCCCGTGTTCCGCCGCGTTGTCTCCCCACTGTGAGCGTCGCTTCTGGTCGTCAGTCCCACTGAATCCCTCGCACGTTGGTTCCCCCCCTGCTGGTGTGCGCGAGTCGAGGGGACCCTCGTGTGAAAAAGGCCACTCGTCTCTGTCGCAATTACCCGCGGCGAGGGATGGACGAGACGTGACCTCTGGTGACGGGTGTGCAAAGAGAAGGAGACACAGGATGAGGGACTCTCTCCGGAGAACATCTGGACTGATGGGTTATGTTTGTATTGTAAGTGTTAAACGGATGAATGAGCTCAATCACGTGGCAATTTTTGCTTCTTACTTCCTTACTGCTCACTGTCGGGTACCACTACCAGAACCATGTGACTCTTGGCGTTTCCTGCCACCAATGCAGCCGTGCATCCAACGGCAGACACACAAAGTCAGGGATTGGCTTGTGGAGGTGGAGGAACAGACATCCCACATTTAAGAGGCTAAGACGGAGCTGTAGGGGCGACCAGCCGGGAGACACCTGCGCGACATCACCGCCGCCGCCGCCGCCGAGCGCCACCGAGGGTGTTTGTGTGTCCATCTGTGTGCGGCGGCTCGCGCACAGTATCCGCAGCGTGCGCGAGAGAGCGGGAGAAGCTGAAAGCGGCACCTGTGTGCATTGAAAAGGCTTCTCTGAATAGCTCCATATTCGAAGAGCCACTTATCCAGCGATAGAGCTGTAAGTGATTCGCGGCAGATTCCTGCCGGCAGTGGAGAGAGAGCGCGAGATTAAATGAGAGCATCAGCTGTAATTAGGGATGCTTTCCTCCTTTTGGAAGTGCATGTCTCTGTCTTAGAGGGAATTAGCGCTGGAGACCCTGGGTGGGCCCAAGCAATACAACTTTAACCAATTGAAGTTGGAATATTTTACAACCCAATTCCAAAGAAAAGGCAGGAATATATCTCGCCGACAATAGGTGCTCCACACGAAAAATCCTCCTCACACAACACTTCCTATTCTAGACAATCGTGCCGGCCGTTCGTGTGCAGCATGTTTGCAGGAGCCTGATAGTCTGCAGGGTCGTCAATGATCTTTTAGCATTTGCAACAACAGCTTCTTTTTTGGTGTACACTGTTATTATTCAATTCTAAATGTTAATATTTGAAGGCATGAACAAGGTGCTCAGTGGTTTCTTTAGTTGTATAGAAGAGTTTCAAACGCTTCCCTTCCTTTTTCTTAGTGTAGGTGACCATTCAAATGCTCCTGACATTTAGGAAATTGTCCTCTTTGTTCACCCAACTCCCTTTTATTCCGCCGCCTTTTTTCCTCTAAATGCGGTTTTGCCCCTTTTTCGTTTCCGCTCTCTCGCCCTGTTGATCCGTCGTCCTTCTTCCACCTCCTTCGCTCCATAAAGGTTCACCTCTGAAGAGCTGTAAAGGCTCCTCTGTTCCGTTTAATGGCTCCCAGCGTAGAGACTCAGCAGGGGTTCCACTCTGGTTCAAATACAAATGCTCGTGCGACGTTCGTCGACTTGATCCCCAATGTTGAACTGTCAGTTCTTTGTTTTTTCTGTAATCATCACATTCCCATCAAACATCTCTGTGGCCCTTTTTGAGGTTCTTCGTTTACATGTGAGGTAAAGCCAAACCAGCATGTATGTCCTCCACAACACCAGAGATACCAAATAAAGTTTGGTGGATTCTGGATTCTGAGATGTGCTGTACTCTTGAGGTTGCCCTTTTATTGAGGAAATATTCTCTCCAGCCGAGGATGTTTTTCTCTTTTCATGCAGTTCTTATCCACACAGACAGATAAGAGGTGCACGTTTAGGGCTCGCCGTCGTCCACATTGGGCAGAACATGCGAGGGCTGCAGCAGGGCCGCACTTCTTCTCCTGCTCATTGAGGTGGAAGCACAAGAACGTGGGCCACAAATCTGGACCGACCACGTCAGATCGGAATCGATCCGCGCACACACACACACACACACACACACACACACTGAGCCAGTGAACCGGCGCTCATGAACAGAGGAGCGAGCTGCGTGGCGTCCGGGCCGCGTGTTAGTTGGTAATCATTAACACGGACTCCCTGTTTGCTTTGTGCCAGCTAGATGTCTGTTAGCTTTAAATGCACATGTGAGTGTGTGTTTGCGGGACGGGGGGGGGGTGGGGGGCGGCAGACACATGTGCACCGCGTAGAGTAACATCTGCTCACGCGCCGCATGTTACAGTGTCGCAGGCCTCCTGTTCTCCAGGCGAGCGGAGGAGGGAGATTTATTGCAGCGCCGGCCGACCTTTAACGCGCCTCACAATTAATCCTCAGACAAAACAAGCAAACTCTTGGAAGGTAAGTCCAAGGTTTTCCCGAGGAGGGGATCGATTGGATGCGAGATGACCCGTCAAGGACATGATTGTGTGCCTGGGAGGGGAGGGGGGGGCAGAAAGCAGAGAGGACAAACTTTCACATGAAACACATCCGGGTCTTTTTTGTGAGGCTTTTGCAACGGAAAAGGTTTAAATATCATGTCAGACGTCTTCTCGACTAAATCTTCCCGACTCATTTATTTCAGCTCCCTGGAAGAAGTCGCGTGCGTCTCCCGCGCCGAGACATTTACAGAGTCGACACAAAATAAGTCAACGTATTACGTCCCATCACTATTTATTAAATCTGTTGTAATGGGAGTTGGTTTGAGCTTAATGGATAAAGATAAAGACCCTTCAAGCTCCGACCAACTACCTCAGCATCTCACGCCAACAAAGCACCGCCTGCGTTGGACGCCCTTCACACGCTGCCGGCGGGGCGTGAGGGTCGTGAGCGGCGTCTTAACGCAGTGGCGGGGGGGGGGGGGGGGCGGGACCGGAGGAGGGACGGGGTGGGGACCGGAGGAGGGAGGGAGGCGGGGGGGGAGAGGACGCGCTTTCGCCCTCACAGGAGAAAGGAGAAGAAGTTTGTCGGTGTGTGGAAATGAAACTCTCATGGTACCTTCAACCCCCTCGCTGGTCCTCACAGCGGCGGAATTAGAGAGCGGCGCGTGTGTGTTTGTGTGTTTGTGCTTTGAGTGCATTTTGTCTGCGGGAAGAGGAGCAGGCGAGGGAGAGCGAGAGAAGTCGGGGGAGGGGGCTGGATCAGGTGGGAGGGAAGAGACGAGGCGAGTGTCACGGACAGAGAGAGAGAGAGATATGGAGTGAGAGGGAGGGAGAGAGACGGAGAGGGAGAAGGAGCAGCGAGCTTGAGGAGCTGAGTGAGCGATCGCTTCCTGAGCCGCTCTGCGAGAAAAAGAGGACGTCTCTTTTTTTCCTTTTTGTATTCCAGCCTGTCTTAGTTTTTTTTTTTTTCTTTTTTCTTTCTCCTCAAAGAGGTGCCACATCGAGGTCCCCTCGGCGAACGCACAACTTTCTCCCTCTTTCCCCTGCCGGGGATTGTGAGATTGTGAGAGCGGCGTGAAGAGGACCCGGGGACAGCGTGCTGCCAGGTAAGAGGAACACAACAAGAGACTTGGAAAGGCAACGTGGTTGTTGCCCGCTTATGTTTCAGAACCAATAGAGTCGTGCCCGGTCGGAACGCAGAGAACATGCTGGTATTGATGTGTGAATGTGCGTCCGTGTGTGTGTGTGTGTGCCAAAGGGAGAGGAGGAGGTGTAGCGTCTTTTTGGACTGCAGTCCGATTCATGACAGTGAACATTTTTATTCTTATTTTTCAAGAAAAAAAGACTGACTTTTCTCTGTTTTTCGGCACAGTTCCATTTACGTCTCCACACACATACTTTGTTTTTCTGATCGGCGTTGGGGTTTTGTGCAGGAGTGAGAGGCGGGGGTAAGCAGACTGTCGGGGGGGGGGGTTCATCATAGTACGAGGAGACAGCTGTCCCCTCGCGGCGATGACAGTAGTATGTACATACATGTTGTCCTTTGTGGGGGACGTGACACTGTAATCAAATCGCTGCTTTCTGTCTTCTGCACTCTCTCCGCTCCCATTATCCCAGAGCCGGACTGACCGAAACCAGTCGTGCCCCCCCCCCCTCCTTCCAACCCTTCCATTATGACCAACAAACAAAGCCACAGGCTGAACAAAAGCTTCTCCCTCTTAATACAATTTGCACTATTCTATTTTTTTTTTTTTGTTGTGTCGTGAGAGAAGCCCCCGTCTGATGGATTCCATTGACAAAGGAAAAAAAGGATTCGCACGTCGCCACGGCGGACCCGACCGCTCCGCTCGCCCCTCACATACACCTCCACATCTCTTTCAAAACAAACACTTGCATCCTTTTAGCCCGTGAGGTTTTGCGCCCGCCGGCGTTGTCGGGGAGGGCGTTCAACAGGCTATTGACAGCCGCCGCATCAACAGTTAACGAGCGTCTCTGGGCCTCGAACGGCGCCTCGAACGCCGCTCACGGCTGGATCCGGATCCCGGCAGCGCGGCGACCTTGACACAACCTTGCAGTGTCACAGCGGGTGTTTGCTTCCTTATTGAGGGAAGGCGACATTTAGAAAACAGACGGCTGCTCTCGGGCACGTTGCAGCACGGAAGTGTGACCTCTGACATTAGATCTGTGAGCGAGGCTCGTGACCGGATCGCTCTCTCGCCCGCGCGGACGCTACAGTTTTCCTGCCCGGAGCGGCGGGCGGCTCCTTCCCTGACTCACCGCCTGGCCCGCTCTGATTGGCCGGCCTTTTCTGCTCCGGCGGAAAGCCAGGATCCCGAGAGGGAGGCTGGCCTCGGGTGAGCGGCATCCCGTCGCACGCCCTTTCACAAGGGAGTTGGACTGGATGTTAAAACGCAGGCCGCAGGTAGAGGTGCTTCTGATTGATGAAATAGGCCACGCCTCTCCTTTTTTTTAATATATCAATAATCAACAAACATCAGCGGGATCATTCTCCTCCAAACACACCCAGCGCCTTCCCGTCTCGTGCGTTATACCCATCTGAGGGATTTATTCAGGCCCCCCCATCCCTTTGTGGATGACGCTGTCACATGTGACAGCTCTGAAGCTGACGGGGCGTGGAGCCCCTCTTGCCCCCCCCCTCCTCCCGCCTGCCGAGACTCTTTCAGAGAGACGGAGTCCAATCTGCTCCTCCCGGAAACCCAGCCAGCGACCCAAATCCTATTTGTTTTTTCCCCTCCGTCGGCTCTCAGATTCAGGACCAGGGACAGCGCCTCGCGAGGTGGACCAGCACTCCCATAGCAACGGGCTTTACTCCCCACGGCACAGCGTTCTGACAGGCAGCGTATATGAGTCGGTCGTGCCCTCGCCGGTTTACGGTTCTACCTCCGGCCTACGTGCAAAGCTTTCCAAAATCCCGCTTTCATGAACGACTTCCATCTTGCGTGCGATAAAAGGTTAACGCTCAGGAGGGTGGTCCGTCGGTCGGACGGCCGCTCTCTGATCTTTGGTAACGCCGCTCACGGGGGAAATGCCGGCTGCAGCCTCTCAGAACGTTAGGAGAAGTCAGAAAGAGTCTCATCTCGCACGTCCACGCAGATCTGCAGAGGCGCGCTCCTCATGACATTGATTTGGTGCCTCCTCCTCGCGCAGAGGATCTCCAGCCCGCTGACAGAAACAGCTCAAGGCTTCTGTTATCACCACTAGACTGCAAACAAGCCCCCCCCTCCATCTCTCGTCCTGAACCCTCCACACGCGTGTCCCCTAATTGAGACGGCTAATAACTAAGCCGGGTCAATTGTATATGTTCGCATTAGCATAATTAAATGGGCATGAGTTAAGTGTTTTTTCTGCTGGTACGTTAATAACTCGGCCTGGTAAAGGGAGGCAAACAAGGCGAGACGCCCTCTCGAACCGGGAGGCGTCCGTGCGTTTAGTCTCCGCCCCTTTGCCCTCCGTCAACTGTCAGCGGCATAAAAAAACAACCGAGCCGTCTCCGAGACGTCCTTGTGTCTTCAGTCTGAGACCCAATCCCAATAAATTCCCTCAGTTATCAATCATATAGACGGAGGACGGCGTTGGGCACGAGGTTGGAGCGAGGACAAACTGCACGTTCACCAGAGGTCTTTATTCCAGGAGAGGGGGGGGGGGGGCAAAGGTAAAAGTAAACCTGAGAGTAGCACACCTTAAACATATTTAATTGTTGCATAGCAACAACCTTCTGGTTTTTCAGTAGTTGAGGCTTTGTGCCTTATTGTTTTTTTAGAACTGTGTCGTGGATGTGAAATATGAAATATGAAATGTGAAATATGAAATATGAAATATGAAATGTGAAATGTGAAATGTCTGGCTTTGTGACACCTGGATTGATGTTCGTCAGCTTTCCTGTGATGGAAAAGCGTCGGCCCTCTGACCCCACCGGGGCTTAAATCAGTGGAGTTTCCCGGATCAGACAGAAGATAATCAGAAAAGAGCATGAGTTTTTTAATACAATCAGAGCAAAGTGCAGATTTTGATTATAAAAGAAGATCTTAAAAGAAGGCAGCAAATGGAATATTACCACTTTAGTACGTACAGCTGGTACAATGACTCGTATGACCAATTCTTCTCAATGAGTTATGTGAAAATGTGTTTGCATGCACCTGAGTGGACCCTCAATTGAATGTATAAATATGAACATGACATTTCTGACTAGTTGAACCGAATAGTTTCCTCACACAACCAAAACAGATCTGATTATAGAAATGAATTCAGTTACATTATGTAAATTACTGAAAATTAGATAAACTCTGTATCTGTTTACAGCCTTTTAACCACCTTCTCCTCATGCCTTTATTTGCCTTTATTTTTGTGCTTTGTGGATTCCCAGCGCTTCCATTTTGCCATTTCCCAGGGTCAGCGGAGTGGCCGTCTCTCTGTGGCCGCCCCGCTCTCCTGCAATTAAAGGATCAATCACGCTAAAGGCTGTCGCGGGAAGGAAAGAGCCAGAAGGTTATCTTCAAAATCTGTAATTTTCTCCAAACTCTTGTCCTTTGATGCCCCGGAGGAGCGCGGCCCGCGCTAAACGGAGGCTAATCGCTAATCTCAGATGTCCACTTGGGAGTCCATTATCAGATGGCACCGGGTCCCCCCCGCGGGTGACACAACGGAGACCATTACTGCTCGCCCCCTCGCGCGGCCCACCGCCGCGGCAACCGTGCACGGGCGCATTTACCCAGCATTCCCTCGGTGAAGAGTTGCACACGGTGCATTTCCCCTTACTTTGCACCGGTTTCTTTCTCCGCTTCTTTACCGTCTTTTTTTCCGGCCGGGTGTAGATGCGGCGACGCGCGAGGTCACTGTGATTAAACCGGCGAATCGTGCATTCTTCCTCCCGTCGCTGCCAAAAGTCGTGACTTGATTTATTTTTTTTGTCAGAGGGAACGAGTTGTCCCTGGAAATTTGGAGCCAAACCGCTGCTCCACTTCAGTCTGTTGCCCAAAAACCACCGTGGCGTGAACGCCGCCGGTGAGCGGCGTGGAACAGCCTCTGACGTCTCTTCACCGGCTCGAGAAAGCAAAAGAAAGCAACGTTTAGACGGGAGTCGCAGAGTGGAAATGATATAAGTTATCTTTCCTAAACAGACGGATCCTCCACGTAGATCAAGAGAAGTCTCGCTCTCTCTTCTTCCCTCTGCTCTGCGATGCTGTCATTGCTAATAACCTCGCACAAATTACCCAGGATGCACCGAGAGACGAGAGATGCGGATAGAGAATGAATGGAGTTGGCTGGTTCCACATTCTAAAACGTGACGTCTCCCTTTTGTTTTGTGTGACTATAAATAAAAGATCCATGTGTTTGGGGTTCTTGGATTGGACATTTGATGGACTAAATGATGACTGCGTGACGTGATTCCTCGTCCTTCATCGCAATCAACTTATTTTCCGTCCCACGTCCCCCTTCCTGCTGCCGGAATACTTTCTAAAGCACCAAATGTGCATTAAACCTCTGAAAATAGACCCCATCAAAGGCCATTTTTGGAGTAGGAAAAAAGGCCCGGCTGTTGTCGGGAACTACTGAGCCTTTTTTACCAAATATAAATCTGTATCTTTGTGATTGCTTTTGAAAGATATCATCTGAAGGACAGAGCCGGGTTCAGACTGAGAGCAACAGACGGGCGCGGAAAGTCAAAAGGAGTCTGACGAACGCGAGGTTGGATTCGGGCTCTTTGAGGGATTTGATGACAGGAAGAAAAATATTGCCATCCAGACTCCGTATTCAGAAATCACTGTTGCATATCGGCGTTTTCTAGTTTTAATAGACTTTCATCAATCTGTCCAATGTCTCCGTCGGCAGGTCAACGTTAACGGCGGCTCGTAGGACTGGAAACAAAACGGGGCGTCACGTCGTACTCTGCGTGTTCACCCGCTGAAGGTTTAAGAGCTTTTAGTGAGCTCAAAGGCGCCTTGAGAGCCCACTGTGTTCCCTCCCCTGAACGCACCAGTCACATCAGCGTCTGTCCATGTGCACTTCCTTCTGCGCCCCCCCCGCCGCCTGCCTTTTCTCCTGCGGCCCGTCAATCACTCCGGCCCGGCGCCACGCTCCGGTGAGG